TCCCACTCCAGATCTGTGCCTTCTCCTGCCCTTACCAAATAACCCCCCGCCCTCACTAAATTCAACCTTAGTCCAAGCTTCGGGAGCGGAAGTCATCGTTCCCAGCTTGTATAAAGACATTAGTTGTTGTAGATTTTCCGGGGCTGTCTGGCCGTGGTCTTGGCATTGTCGGACCTGGTGTTCCGCCAGCAGCTGTGGCTGGCATCCTCAGAGGTATAACACAGAAAGACGGAGCGCTCTCTGTGTCAAGGTGAGAAGAGTACTCCGTCTTTCTGTGTTATACCTCTGAGGATGCCAGCCACAGCTGCTGGCGGAACGTCAGTTCCTACAGTGCCAAGACCACGGCCAGACAGCCCCGGAAAATCTACAACAGCTAATGAACTCCGGCCGTGAAAGCCTTCGACAACATATTGTATAAAGACACTCGAGTTTTTCATGATTTAAACTTTGGGATTACTCATTGGGCATGGAAACAGACCCAGCCGTTCCATGCTTGTTTTAGATCCACTGTTAGGACGACTGCTCGAGTCGTATGCGTCCTACCGCCCAAGGGGGTTCTGTTTCCACACCTTGATGGGGATACAGGCGTGGTCCTCTTCCAGGTCCTTGAGGCAGATTTCTAGATGCAGCTCGCCAGCCCCGGCGATGATGTGCTCACCGGATTCCTCAATGATGCACTAGAGAACGGGAGAAAGGGGTTAATGGAGCTTTTCCGGTACCGTTTCCTACAGGCTAACAGAATAAGAACACCACGGCAATCTGATCATTTGCACGCCGCCCTGTGCTGTGGTTCTGAAATAACCCTCCTGAACTGCCGCACAGAAGTTATCACAGGGCAACCGAATGCCATTTTGGACAGCGTTTCCACATGCCTTTCCCCAGCGATACATCAGCCTGCAAAATATGGAGTGCTGCCCGGTGAAACTCTGCTGCCCTAGCACTCTCGCGTACTGATGGATGAATGAGGCTAACAGGACCACCACACGGAATTGTGAGGTCAAGCGAGACACACTTCCCGATGCTGAAAGTACCGAAGCGACACACGCCAACGGAACAGCTCAGCCTAACGTTGAGGCGTCGGGGTGAAACAGGCTCCTTTTAAAGATATACAGGATTTTTATCATGTGCTTTCTGGAGGATTTCCTCCAGAAATGAGCATTTTGATCAAGAAAATTAAGAAAGTCAGCCTGGACTGAGATGTGCTCTATTCTAATTGAGCTCACAGATCACGTGGGAATTATCTGGGGTGCAAGCGTGAGATTTTGGCGCAAAAGCGTGAGATTTTGGCGCATGGCGTTCTCCGGCATGGAGGGCACAACCCACCAGCACGTTCTAAGATGAGCACTTCCTATTTGATCCAGACTTCTGTGAACCCTTTGCCTGCTTTCCCATTGATAGTTTCCCAGGAAAGCCAAGATTAACCGTGCATCTCCATTATCCTCGTCCCAATCCCCTTATGGACAGGCAGGGTTAAAAACACACACCAATTAAAGCTATGCGAAAAGGCCTTTTTAAAAGACCCCCCCCCCCAAATTTCCAAACGTCCCCAAATGTTCACCATTCCACCATGGCCTACTGGGATCCCTATGCCATGTCATACCGCCGCCAGCACTTTATGATTTTATGAACTCTATTATTTGTGTTTTAATGTATTTTAACTTTTTCATGTAAGCCGCCCTGAGCCTGCCTGGCAGGGAGGGTGGGATAGGAACTGAATTAAATGAATAAATAAATAAAATAAAGCCTACTCCCAACAATGAAAATATGAAAACGGTACTTTGCGTTAAGTTTCACTCCCAGTAGC